ACCTAACCCTAAACCTAACAATTACAAGTACATGCCTAACCCTAAACCTAACCATTACCAGTACATACCTAACCCTAAACCTAACCATCCTCGAATGGTGTCCCTATTGAGTTTGTTGATTCCTATAAATATTTGGGTATCTTGGTCGATTCTTCTCTATATTAAGCTCCACGTGGAAAACCTAGTAAAGAAACTGAAAGTTAAACTGGGTTTCTTTTTCCAGAAATAAATCCTGTCTAACTCTGAAGGTTAGAAAATGTGTTATGTATTGTCATCATTGTATGTTCCCATACAATGGCGAAATTGGCCCTCTGCTTTTAACCCATCCACCACAAGGTGGAGCAGCTATGGAAAGCGCCCGGGGAGCAACTGGGGATAAGGTGTCCTGCTCAGAGACACCGCGAGATGTGCAATGACCGGGGATCGATCCCAAGACCTTCGGGTCCCGAGTTGGCTGCCCCTACAGCTCCTTGTAACTGTGACTTTCCTTCCCTCAATTGATTACGGTGACATTATCTAAATGAACGCCCCTACAAGCACTCTGCAGATGTTGGATGCTGCCTATCATGGTGCACTAAGATTCATAACTGGCTATGATCATCATACCCACCATTGTACCCTGTATTCACTGGTTAACTGGTCATCATTAACGTCACTGGTACATTTTAATCTCGACTTCTTGGTCTGCTGCCTTCATACATCTCCTCCTACAGGTCTCTGCGTGAGTGCAGCTACAGCGTGCGCTCTCAGGACATGATTACCTGCAGTGTTCCCTCAGTGCGGACTGAACTTGGCAAAAGGACCTTCTCCTACTCTGCTCCGGTTTCCTGGAATATCTTGTAAAAAGATGTGAAGCTCTCGATCTTGACCTCTCTAAGTGATTTTAAACATCTGTTAAGTTCCTGGCAAGAACCAATGCATACATGTTCCTGTTTTTAGTTTTCTACACCGCCTTATAATCTAGCTATTTTTTTTTGTTACATTTTCATGTAAGTACCTTTTTATTTTCACTTGTTAAAAAAAATTAATAAAATTAAAAAAAAAAAATCTCAATTTGTATCCTTCATGATTGTCTAGTATTGTCTTTGTTGTCATCACTCTTTGTTAAAATCAGGTCTCTCTTGTAAACAAGTCCCCGAGACTCAATGGGATTAACCTGCATAAATAAAAGTTGAATGAATTACATGACTAACCCATCCCCAATTCACACCTTAGTCCTACACCTAACCCCCAACCCACCAGCAGCAGTTCTTTTTATGGGGCCTGGGCTTTGGCCCCCATAAGGAGCAGATGGTCCTCACAATGTACCGGTGGTAGTACGTGTTGGAAAAATGGGCCTTACAAGGTAACAAATACACACACACACAAGTCCAAACACAGACTTTGGCTGAAGTGTGCATGCATGTGAAGAAACATATCCTCAACATGTACACAACATTAAATCTTACACACAAGCTGTGCTGAGGACCTTCTGCTGATGAATAAACACAAACAAGACACGCAACAGAGCAGCCGAACCCAAACTGTGTGTGTGTTCTGACAGCATGCCAAAGCCCAGCTGATCTCCCAGTAAATATTGACATATGGTCGCTGCATGTGTGCGAGGAGGAGGGTTTAGGATGACACGGAGATAGATTCCTCATCCGTCCACAGAAAGCAAAGAACAGCAGGAGACGTCTCAACCTCCCGCGACACGTGTTCCTCCTCTACAGCCGAGTCTGTTTTGGACTTTGCACAAGAAACACACCGAACACCCCAGGGTGCAGGTCTGACTTACATAATGATCAAACTGTCGGGATGAAGACAGGAGTCATCGACAAACACTCGAGCTCGTCGTGTAATCTCAGAGGGTGCTTTGAAGAAACGATGTTCACATCAGCTCCCAGAGTTTTTAAAAGCTGGCAGCTAAAGTTGAAGCGACACCTCGGCTTCTGTTTTTGTGTCCAACAACATGGATTTGTCGTCCTCGCCTGGAATAGATAAAAATACTCAGAAGACTTAGAATCAGCAATCACACAATCGTTTTTCTGCGAGTTATTTATGCTTTTTTTTTTTTTGCAACCAAACTACTTTGTGCTACTTTAGCTGTTCATGTTTGAAAACATTCGGTTTGTTCAGATTTGCTTGGTGTAACTTTTCAAAATATTTGACTCAATTTACGGTTTTCCCTGTACATCGATTTTGACTTCTTGAATTCCTTTAAAAACATTATTTTTTCAAATCTGCTTCAGCAAACCGTCTAAGTTTTCTGTCTTTCTATGCTACCTTTAGCTTAGCATTTTGCTACTATTATTATTACAGTAGTCACTCGCTACTTCACGGTTCGTTTATCACGGACTCGCTCTATCGCGTATGACGATATGACGCACAGTTGGCTGATTGATGGATGAGCCGCACGATGGGCATGGAATTTTTATTTAAAATAAAACGTTTAAAATTATTTAGCACCTCCTGCACCTTTGTGCAGCCCACACTGCAGGATAAACTTCCTGCTGCAGCTGATCAGCTGATCTCACACAGAGCGAGAAGTGGGCATGGCTGAGAGCAGCTGAGGCAGAGAGCTGAGATCATGATATGCTGTGAACTTTTAGAACGTTTAGTTTGGAAACATTGTTTAGAATATTGCAAGAGTGTAAGATAGGCTTAAAATGCTGTTTTATATATATACATATACCAAAAAAAAAACTACTACTACTTGTACTACTATCCCTACTCTGTGGTTTTTCACATATCGCGGGGCTTCAGGGTACGGATCCCCCATGATAAACGAGGGATTACTGTATTGTTAAGCATTTCATCACATTTTTCACATTGCAGTTTGGAGTCTGGTCCATGTTGCGTCTCAGGAATAAATCCATTACAGTTAATAACAAAGTCCATGCTCAATAATCCAGGTATACAATCCAACATTTTTCAGTCGGGTCACGTGGACAGTTTCATTACAGTTAATATTGTTTCAGCTGTGGCTGTGTTAAAGCGCTGTACAAATAAAGTTGATGATGATGATAATATAAGATGTTGAGCCACTCATTTCCCAGCAGCACTTTGTAGAGAACATCAGTGAATATATTCAAAAATAAAAACTTGATTTTAACAGTTCACACGTTGAAAATATTTTGCACCATTTCAAACTCTTAGGTTTGAGAGATGATGATAAAAATCGACAGCACAAGCATAACATGGAACTGGATTAAAATAAAAAGAAAAGATAAATCCAAGAGTGGTGCACTGGGGTTATTTGTTTTGGTAACATGAGCTGATACTTTTAATAAGATCTTAATCCATGCGTCCATAAAATCCCAGCCCCCGCCTGTTTTCTCCAGTTTATTTTGAGCCCTTTAAACTGCTGTGGCGTGTTATTCTGTTAGATCTGGGCTCCTCTTTCCTCCCCCCGAGTGATTCTGGCTGTTAATAAGAGCTGTTTAGGACGGCAGACAGCTCCCGGCAGCAGCATCAACCACCACACATCAGTTTCTGACCACCCACATCCTCTGCACCAGCGAGCAGAGAATCAAGGCCACGTTATGGAAGAGATCATGCATGCTAAAATGTCAGGATGCTCCTTTTTTAAAACAAACCACAGCTCAGCTGTCTGAAAACTCCAAACACATGCAAGGAGTCAGAAAACCTCATCCAATAGTTTGATCTAGTCTGGGTTTGGACAAACGGGCAAAAAGGAGGAAAAATGTACGAATTAGATCCAAAACAGAAACCAGTTTGGCTTTTATGTTCTTAAAACTGAACATAAAATAATCACCTAAAATGTAAATATCACGGTAACGTGTCCCACTCTCATGCAGAAATTAATTATGGATCCTATTAACAGGTTTTTCTAGACAAGTCTTCTGCTTCAATATCTACATTTGCAGCAGCTACATGTGTATTTCTATAAAACACTATTTTGGTCTTTCTAGCTAAATGTGTGTAGCACTTAAAAGTACTGACTGGGTAATATATAGGGTATACAGTAATAACATGCAGGATGCATATAGGGTATACA